TTTGCTATTTCCAGTGGTTTTTCATGAAGGAAATCTGATTTTCATACATTCTACATGGTGATTACGTTTGATTTTCTATCTTGCTTCTGACCTCGTTCCTTTAGTGACCGCCATAATGCCACAATAGGTATTTCTAGACCCATCTAGCAATTTCCTTTCTGTTTAATCTTTTCTATTCCATTTCTATTTCACGTCTTACTGTTTCATCCAGAACTTTCAAAATACAAGAGCAATAAAGAAGCCATCCTTGCCTGTAAAAGGCAATGCCTCTTGTATATCACGTGAGGATATATATCACGTGAGGCATACTGTATGTCTAAAACTGTAGGTCTAAAAGTGATGGTTAAGTACATAAGCTAAGATAAACTCCAGATGGCTGAATCCTTAATATAGCCATGGGAAAAACTAGAAATACATAACACAGAACCTTTACCAAAAGGTATGACGTAAATAAAATCTACAACTTCCAGGATTGGGGATATGAAGGAGAGAGTTTGCGGAAAATATTTATGGCAAGCGTAAGGGTTAAGGAAGTCAGAGAAACAACTAAAAAGAGCGTTGAGATCCAGCAGAATGGACAGTCAACATGGACAGGAAAACCCAGGCACAGCCTCACAACTAGTAAAACAGCATAAAAATCCTGTACCTCACTCTTAATCAAATAAATAGAAATAAAAGTGAGATGCTATTTCTTTTTGTTCAGTAAGCTGAAACAGAACATTAGCCTTTGTTCCTGGCACAGGAAAAAATGACCACCGTGTGACCCACCACAGAGATGTTATCTAATGCTAACTATGGCAATCATATTGCAACAAACATATCAAATCAATTTGTTGTACACCTTAAACTTACACAATGTTGCATGGCAGGGATAGCTCGATTTTTTTTTAACGGGTGCACTGCACTGGATGTAAGTTAAACCTCAGCAACAGTGATTCAAAAAGAAAAAACACATAGAAATAAAACAGTCACATCTTTGCTTTGATCGCCTAAGTTCACGTCAAGGGATCAAATTTAGGAAATGGCCAGAGCTGAGGACAACGATTTAAGTAGAAGGATTTTCAGTACGGTGTGATAATTAGAAATTAGACATTGTCAATTAGACACTGACTTGTACAGTTAATGTCTCTGTAGGGAATGGTTCATTGACTGAAATATGACACAATCATTTAAAATTAAGTTTTACAGAATGTTGTAATGGCCAGAAGAGAGACTTAGGACAATATTTACATGAGAAGAGCAGGATACAAAACTGGAAATTTCCAATATGTAGATGTTCTAAAACACATCGACGTTTATGAAGGCTGTCTCCCGAGGGTCCAGTTCCAAATCACTTTTGACGTTTTTAGCACCTGCCAACTTTTTATACCATGCACATATTTAATGAACATCATTAGAGAAGCAAAGTGTCATAGATAATACCATGGCAGGATCTGTTTTCAGGTGTTTATTCATGTACTGTTGAAACAGAGTGGTCCTACTGTCTGTAGGCTGCGTGTCTGGGAGGTCAGGAAAGAGGACACTACAAAGCCATCCCATCTGCATGGCTGGGATTGGGGTAACACAGTCGGGCATGCCGGGCCCTTCTCCATTCCCCCCTTCCTCGGTCTGAAGCAATCAATCCCTCCTCAAGACCCAACTCTTGGACAGAACCTTCCGCGCTTGTCCCCAAACAATTCTCCAGACCCTCTAACCAGGGAAAGAGTCTCCCATTAATTAATTAATTTTTAAAAAGATTTTATTTATTTAATTGATAAAGAGGGAGAAAGTAAGTGGGGGTGGGGAGGTGGGAGAGGGAGAAGCAGACTCCCCACTGATCATCAGGGAGCCCCATGACGGGCTGGATGCCAGGACCCTGGGATCAGGACTTGAGCTGAAGGCAGGTGCCTAACTGCCTGAGCCACCTGGGTGCCCCTTCTGTTAATTTGTTTAATCTTGCATTTATGCTGCCCCGACCACAGAAGGCCCCTCAGCTCCACCTGCCCGGAGTGATCGAAGTGATCAGTGACTGACAAGAAAGGCACATCCCCACGCTCCCCTGACCCTGCTTGACCTTTCCTGATGGTTACTTCTCCGGGGACATGCCCTCCCACGTCCCCCCCATCAATCCCCACCTCCTGCTGCAACTGCCTTCTGAGTGCCTTGTATTTTGATTTTCCAGCCCTTGTCACCAGCTCTGATCACCGGCCTGTGGGATCACTGCATTAACACCACCTCTCCCGCTGGATGGGGAACTCCCAGAAAGCAGTCCCAGGAGGTTTTGCACTCAGGGCTTCTCTTGAGTTCCTTGTTCCTGGGAGAGTGTCGGAACACTCCAGAAATGTTTGCTGGGTGAAGGGATGTTTCCTCATTGTAAAACAAGAGGAGCCCACCTAGTTTGTAATCAGCAGGGTTTACTGAAAGCCCAGATGCTGGCCTCGTTGGCTCCCTCCAAGCTCTGGCTACCCAAAAAGTCCCAGGAAACCTCAGATGACATCACCCTTGTTAACAATTAACAACCAGACTAGCCTTCACTTCCCTGGGTCTCAGAGGGAGCTTCCAGGCCCTGGGGATTAGAGAGCAGGGGTGAGATAGGAAATCCTGGTGAGTCACCGAGAGAGCATTTACTAATTTGGAAGAGTTTTTTCAAGCTACTTCTGTCTCTCCCCTGGGGGCAGGACCTGCAGGAGAACAGGAGAAGTATACAAACATTACTTCCCTCCCTCCCTTCCCCCCTCGCCTCTCTAGGTGAGAAGGCAGGATGGCAGGAATGACAAAAGCTTCCTAGGGGGTCAGGCACTGTTCTAAGTGCCAATGCAGAGAACTCACCCATCCTCACGATGATCTGAAAAGGTGGGTACCGTTCTGTCCCATTTCCCAGAGGAGGACAGTTGAGGCACAGTGGGATTTGGTAACTCACTGGAGGTCACAAAGCTCCAGAGACCTTGCTGTTAACCACTCTACCCTACAGCAGTCCCCCACATCCTAAGTTTTCTGTGGTTTCAGGTACTCGAGGGCAAACCTCGTAGGGAAGCAGACGAGGCTCCCGACTTCGGTCAGAAGCTCAATGGTGTGGCAACGCCAACCTCCCTCGCCTTGCCCGGCCTCCTCACCTCGGCATTTTACCACCTCGCATCCTCGCCAGAAGGGTGAGTACAGTATATGATATTTGCAGAGAGAGACGCCATTCCCCTATCTTTTATTATGGTATGCTGTTATAACTGTTCTTGTTTTATAATGAGTTACTGCTGTTCCTCTCCTACGGTACCTGACTTACAAAGTAAGCTTTACCGCACGTAAGTATGCATGTGTAGGAAGAAACATGGTATTAATCTATGGCTTCAGGCACCCACTGGGGGTCTTGGGATATATCCCCCAAGCATAAGCAGGGGAACACCGTAGTGCCTCATTACTGAGAAGGCGAATGCTGCCACAGGGAGATACGAATGACATCCCGTTGACCCACTGACCTGCAGAACAGAGAGGAGAGCAGGAGGCTGGCACCCTGTGGGTCACATGGCAAGGATTGCTTTTTCAGGCTGCAACTCAAGAGCGGTGATGCCTGTGGAATGAACACTGACAGGTTCCCCTCCCCCAAGAACAATTCTTAGTCTATGGGGAGCCTCAGCTCTCTGCCCAGAGCTGTGGTTTTAGTAGCAGGAAGCAAGCCATGTGCATCAATGATCAGGAACTCTGTAATCCAACTGGGATCCCAAACACGCGGCTGAACCCTGAGGGGGTTCGTGTGACATACAGAACTTCCAGGGCCACAGGACCCTACAGGGTATGGTAAAGTAGACGGTGATCCCGCCGCCAGTGAACTGCAACCCCAAACCAAGGCATGGTGGGCGATTTAAGGTGCACTTTCTCCAACAGAGCACGCTCACTGCCTCTCCCCGGGGCACTCAGCACAGTACCCAGCCCACGTGATCTCAGCTTCCACTGGGTTTAGAATAAAACCCAAACTCCTTACCACGGCCTCGAAGACTTTTCAGGATCTGACCAACCTCATCCACGCCCCAGGCCACTAGTTTTCTTTTCGCGCCTCCAGGCCTGAGGCTCTGGGGCTCTCTGTTCCCTCTACCTGGGTCACTCCTAGCCCCTTGACCAGGAGGCGTCCTTGTCATTCAGTTCTCAACGCCAGCATCCTCTCCTTCCTCAGAGGCCTTTCGAATCAGGCTTGCCACGCCACACCCCTCCAGACTGGAAAGGGCCCCGCAGCACTAGATCGCCACCGGGACCCAAAGGCCTTCATCTTCAACAAATGTTTGTTGAATGCAAAAATGCTGAATACACCCAAATCGACTCCCCCCCGCCTCCCCCAAAACACCTGGGAGAAATTCACAGAGAAGACTTCGGCAAGCGATAGCACAACACATCACCGCGGAACAAAGGCGGCGAGCCGAGCTGCCGCGCTGGGTGCCCTCGGAAGAGGGCCCCTAGAAGACCCTTTCCGGCCGGGGCGCGCGCTTTGGCCATCGCGGCGGGGGCGGGAGGCGGGCGCGCTGCCTACCTTGAACTCGGCGGAAAGTTGGGGCGTGTACTCGCGCGTCCAGAGCGCGCGCACCAGCGCCGCCAGCTGCTCGGTGACCTCGGCGCGGCCCGGCGCCGCCCGGTAGCGCCCCAGCGCCAGGAACTCGGCCAGCAGGTCGGTGTTGCTGAGACACTGCACCACGGCGTTCATGAAACAGGTGTTGCCGTGGTTCTTCAAGCCCTGCGCGCCCGGGGGCCGCGCGCCGTCGCCGGCGGGGGGCTGGGGCTGGGCGCCGGGCAGGCGATCCTCCCCCGGGCTCCCGCGCGCGGCCGGGGCGGGGCCCGGCGCGCAGGAGAAGCCCCCCTCGCCGTCCCCGTCGCCCTCGCGGGGTCCCGGCTGGGGCCGCGGCCGGGGAGGCGAGGCCCCCGGGCGGGAGCGGCTGCCCAGCGCCAGCAGGAAGCGGCTGAACAGGCGACGCAGGGAGCGGCGGCGGCGGGGCCGGGGCGCGGGCGGCCCCTCTCCCGCCGCAGCCCCCGCGCCCGGGTCCATGGCTCCCGCCCGCGCGCCCTCGGAGCCGAGCCCCCCGGCCGCGAGCTGGACGCGCCGCTAACCTGCCCTGACAGCCCCGGAAAAGCGGCGGGTGCCGACTACCTGCGGGCCAGGTGTGCCGGGAGCGGGCGGAGGCGGAGCCAGGGGCGGAGTCGCCCCGCCCCGCCCCGCGCGGGAATCCGGCCGCAGGGCCCGCCCAGGGCAGCGCCACCAGCCCCCACCCCTTCGGGCCCGGCCCCGCGGCGCCGCCCGCGAGCAGAGGCGCGGGACTCGCACGCTCTGGGTCCCCACCCTTCCTTACCTCTTAACCAACCGACGCCCCGAATTTCACTCCCACTGCCGCCAGGCTGCAAGCTGTGGAACGGTAGAGGGGTGGTACATTGGAAAGCGCCTGCTGGATTGCCCAGCCCCGGATAGCTTGAGTTTTTGGGAATTACGTGCAGGTGAATATGAAGAACGGGGAAAGGGAGACTCCCCAAGGGGCAGGCGCGCACCGGGAGCTGGGACCGGCTTGGGGAGTGACCGCGGGGTCCTCCCACTTGTAGGAGCAGGTGTGCGCGCACAGGTGGCGCTGCCTCCAGCCCGTCTGTCCCGGTCCGGGAGGCCTTCCAGGACTGGGAGCCGCGCGTTGCCCCGGGAAGAATCATCCGGGATGGTTGTGATTTCCTTCTTTCAACTGCAGACCAGGTCAGAGTCGCTTCCCCAAAACCTGCAAACGAGACTTCAGCGTCCTAGCTGGCCCGAGGAGGTTCGCGCCAGTACCGAGGCCAAGAAACCGGAACTCGACCCGGCTCTGCGGTTGGCTGAGCACACAGGCTTGCTCTTTCCAACCTCGGTGTTTGCTTACCAGGAAGTTTTCCGGCTCTCAAGCGCGCCTCCTATGCGGTCCCCTCGCTGAACTGGTGCCCAATCAGAACTGGCTTGGCCTTGCCCCTCCCTTGGTTCCCTGGGTCACCCTGGGGGCCTCCGCTCACTTGACCCTGTAACTGTGAGGTTTATAATTAATCAGGCAAAGTCTTACAGACGAATTTCTCATCAATTTCTGGCTCAGAAAGACAGCAGCGGGACGCATTATTACATCAAAGCCCTGAAATGTTACTTATCTGATAGGTGATCATTTATTAAAATATCTGCCTTGATGTGTCAAATAGGGTCCCAGCAGATGACCTGATGCAAAACAAAGCGGGGGGGGGGGGGGGGGGGAGCATTAGTTAAAGAATTAAAAAACAGGCCTAGAACAAAAAAGTGTACTGTGATTTGGAGACTTGAAGTGTTTCTTGAAAATGCCATGATTTACCCTCTCTGGGAAAACAAAACCAAAACCAAAAAAACCTATTTGGATGATCAGTACACAAAGGCCATCCCCTTGCCTTCCCTCGCCCAGAAAAGCATCTGTGAAATTTCACCTTTGATGGTTACCCCGGGATCCCCAAGAACGCAGGGTTTCTTTGAGAAGGTACCAAAATTCAGGTTTCACTCTACTCCATCAGGAGTTCTGCCAATGCTTTAACTCATTATTTCACTTAATTCTCAAAATAACCTTTTAAGCTGGTATTCTTGCTTCACAAAAGGCCAAACTGAGGCTCAGAGAGTTGGAAGGAAGAAGGGAGATCCTAATATCCTACCCATGATCTGGACTCAAACCAAGTCTTGCACCATTGCAGCTTGACGGATGAAAGGCTGGTTAGGAAGGTAAGCAGACCCTCCTTATTTTTAGAGAACAGCAGCAGTGCTGTGTGTGGACAAATGATGCAGAAAGACCGTGGGTTTACTGTCGTAAAGCAGAGATTAAGACAGGAAACCAGCAACTGGGAATTTATTCTTAATAAAAAAAACCCTTTTAATTAGAGTCTGGACAACTTATTCTTGAACACATTCCCATTTTAATATACAATCTAAGAAGGTAAAAATGCATCCTACAAAGAAAAGGAGAAATTTCACGATAAAAATATTTTGACTCAAGAACAGAATCACGGATGTGAGGAAACCCAAACCAGTGTTAAGAGTTATCTAAGGTCAACTTTCAACAGAGCCGTAGGCAGTGCTGCAGTCCCAGAAGTCTCCGCGGCCTCAGGAGGAAAACGGGCACTTCCATCTCAAAATTGCTCCGTCAGCACTCACGCTAATGATGTACTGATTTCCTGGACTTATCCGGATGCCGGTGATGTTGCCGCTGTGTCCCACCCCGACGTGAGTCACTTCACCCTCATTATAATCCCACACTTTGACCAGATGGTCATTTCCACCTGAAAAAGACCAGCAGGTGTATGTCATTTCTCCCCCAGGGTTAGGGAGGAACAGCCCTGATTCCAAGCAAGTGGCTAATTTTCAACACATCCTTCACGTTCCCACGTGGATAAAGGAAGAAAATCTGCATAGGAACTCTTTTCCTTGATTATAAAAACGTAGGTCTGTTGTAGTAAATTGGGGGGAAAGAAACACAAAGAGGTGATATCCCCTTTTAGCCCACCACCCAGAAATAACCACTGAGAAGGCCTTTGGTTTCGCTCCTTCTGGTCTTTTCGGTACAAGTATACAGGTCTATGTAAGCACCTGTATGTGCGGTTGGGGTCACACCCTGCGTAGTTTTCTATCATGCTAAAAGGAGATGTGTTTATGAAACTTTAATTCATTTGGAGCATTTATTCGTTAATGTCCTGAAAAATCAGGGCCTGGCGGGAAATGATGGTCAATGATGTTCCAGAAGGCGAGTTGTATGGTCGATGCCCATCTCCTGGAAATTCTGATTTTTAAGACTTCCGAAGGAAATAACAGTGCAAGGCATGCCAGATAACCCAGACCATTTAAAGGCCCATTTCCGAATCGATTGCCACCACCAAAAAAGGGAAGCAATGTAAGGCTTAGCTTTTCTGTGTGCTCCCAAGGCTCATGGACAGAAGTTTCCTCCCACCCAAGCGTGATTTCTGCAACTTTCTTTTCCAGCCACACCACCTGCAATGCTGGGGCCTGACTCTTCACCACGGGGGCCTGTTGACACTTGTGTCCTCACTTCCTGTTGCCTCCCACCTTCTGGGGGGTTCTAGGTTCGCATTTAAATAAGCAGGGCTGGGGGCTTCCTTTTCCCACCCCAGGACTCACCCGTGACGAAGTGCACTCCTTCCTGGGTGATATCCATTCCATTGACGGACCCAGACAAGGAACCTTCCAACTCTCTGATGACCGACCCATCAAAGACTTCCCAGTAAGCAATCTGGAATTCAGAAAAGCAGCGTGGGGCAGGGTTCGGCCCGGTGGAAGTATCCGCTCGCGCACGCGCACGCTAGCAGAAGATGGTTCTACTTTATATAGAAAGTGGCAAAAATACACCCCGGGAGGAGAGATGGGCTGGAATTATAAATAGGCTCAGGCAGGGGGTGGAGAAAGGCATTTTCGTATTTTTGGCGTTGGTTTTTACATTCTCGTTCTATTTAGAGAGACGGAGACTGTGCCAGTAAGCCCGGATTGTGACAGAAAGCGCTTTGGGTGAGACCAAGCGCTCAGGAGTCCGAGGCAAGCTGTAAACGAAGAAGGAAACAGCCACAGCATCCACGTTCCCGGTTCAGCTCTCAGGGGAGGGCCTGGCGGAAGGGAAGCGTCCCCCTCCAGCTGCTGGGGGAGTGAGCCGCCCAGAGAGTTCTGTGGGCTCTGGTCCCTACAGCTGACTGCGAGCTCTTCCCCACCTCGCCCTATTTCCAAGGTTCTGTTCTGCCTCAAAGCAATAAAACAACCTCCCCCCCCGCCCTAGCGTGGGGTCTAGAGGCAAATTGATAATATGGCCCCTCCTAGGTTAGGGATGGGGAACAGGAGGGCAGGCGGGAGAGTGGGGGGTGCTAGAGGAAGGGAGATTTTTCTCTCAATATACTGCCTTTATACTTCTTGAACTTTGAACTGTGTAAATGAACAACCTATTCAAAAAATTTTTTCTTTTTTTCCCCCCAGATTTTATTTACTTATTTGACAGAGAGAGTGCACAAGCAGGGGGATGGGGAGGCAGAGGGAGAGGGAGCAGCACCTGTGGGGCTCCATCCCAGGACCCTGAGATCATGAGCTGAGTGGAATGGAGACGATTAACCAACTGAGCCACCCAGGCACCCCGAGAAGATCTTTTTCCAAGCAAAGCACTTGACCAGGACTCAAGAGTGTGAGCTTGGGCAGGCATTTCATATCTCATGTTGTTAGACATGTGCTGTTCAGGTCATCATGTCGGGAATCCGTATTCCTCTGAATCTAGCTAGAAATTGTTTATGCTGTTTTTAAAAAAAAATTTTTTCTTTAGCTAATTTATTAATTTCCAGTGATGCTTGATCACTTTAACAAAGAGTTGTTTTCAGGACGCCTGGGTGGCTCAGTTGGTTAAGCAGCTGCCTTCGGCTCAGGTCATGATCCCAGCGTCCTGGGATCGAGTCCCACGTCAGACTCCTTGCTCAGCAGGGAGCCTGCTTCTCCCTCTGCCTCTGCCTGCCACTCTGCCTGTGCTCACTCTGACAAATAAATTAAAAAAAAACAAAAAAACAAAACAAAGAGTTGTTTTCATAGGAAAAGCGTAAAGGAATATAGATGCATGCCCAAATGCTCGTTTCTCAGGTAGCTGACTGCCTGGTCTCTTGGCCAAGGTCATAGTGACCCTCTTCGGGGCAGCCTGATGGCACCTTGGCTTTCCCTCAGGCGTATCCTCTGCTGATGGTCTTCCCTGAGAGCTAAGCATGGTGAGGTCCTCTGCCACTCAGTTCTCAGCTCAAGTGTCACCTCCTTGAGGAGACCTTCGCCAATCATCCTAGCTAAAGCTGGATCATGTAACCTGTTCTACTTCCTTTTTATCCGTTTCACCATCTGACATCGTCTTGTTCTCCTATTAACCCACAGTTCATGGACGGGTTCATTTCCAAGTGCCCATCCCATCCATCCCCTCCCACCTTCAATAACGACGCAAGGTTGACCAGCTCCCTGACAGCAAGAACGCCATCATGTCCCCAGCCCTTCGGGTCGTTGTATTGATTCATGATTTATGCTTTGAATATTCTGGTGACAATTGCCAGATGAGGGCAGGAGACTGTTTCAAGTCTCATAAACTCAAAGACCATTCCATTCCCTGGCATAAGGGAAACGGGACACAAATCTACAAGCTTTATGAACCATGTACTAATAGCACTTAATGGTGACATCACAGCGAACTTCCTAATATCCTTCCTGCTCCCTCACTGCCCCCGACCCCGTTCCAAGAGGAAACCTGCTTAGACCGGAAGTGAAACGGGCCTGGGGGTGGGCAGACGTAAGCCAGGTTGGGTGGGCAAGACACAAAGGAACTAGTAAGGCCAACCTTACAGACACTAGAATGAGGCAGAACTCTGGGCCCCCCCAAATAGTCTGTCTGTGTCAGGCAAACCCTGGCCCACACCTGGGGGCATTTCTTGGGTTTTTATGACAAAGTATCTTTGGACAGTAGTCCCCAGTCACCTGTATTTATTTGAGAGAGAGAGAGCACAAGCACAAGCGGGGAGAAGGAGCAGAAGGAGAGGGAGACGTGACTCCCCATGGAGCAGGGACTCGACCTGCTCGACCCCATGTGGGACTTCAACGTTGACATCATGACCTGAGCCAAAGGTAGATGTTTAACTGACTGAGCTCCCCAAGAGCACCCCCCCATCCCTAGATTCTATTTTTATACTTTGAGCTCAACTTTTTCTGTGGCTTGTGAAAAGACAAATACACAAGCTCTTCTTCAGTGATCTCCAAGTCTGGGTTAGGGGACTCCAAATCCACTCATTGGTTGCTCAGGTAATGAGACGGACACCTGGCTGGTCTAACGTGGCCAGGAGGGTAGATGACCCCCTAGGGTCCTTGCCCGTCCCTGTGCCTCTCTCCTGAAGCCTTTCCTTTGCTCCAAGAGGCAGGGTTCCCCCCACCCAAAGAGGGACCAATCTTCACCCAAGGACATGGGGTCCCCAGCTAACGAGATTTGTAGTACGATGCTGATAAAGTAGGAGGGACACGAGATAAGAACTCAATTGTTACTGGATTTGAAAGTCATCAAAGGGAACTCCGGGCTGGGCAACTGGGTTCTAGCCTCAGAAATGCCCTAATCATGAAAACCAGTACTTCTGAGCAGCTACTATCAGCAAAACTGGGCTCTGACCTTGTGGGGCTCCAGTCCAGAGGCCACTCCCACGGCCGCAGCACGTGGCA